ATTTCATAATCTATATGTACACATTGCAGTTTTAAATTTAAAATAATCCCACTTAATAATTCTTACTTTTTAGTCACTGAACAATTCTGAACCATATTCAAAAATTAAATTAATCACAAAATTGGCTCTGTTAATGATTTTCAAATAAATGTCCCATGTTGATTTCTCTTTGCTTTGCTGTAGATAGCTTAAAAGGTATTTGGCTTAATTATTTTCCCCCAGGGTTTAACTATTTCCCTTAGAAATAACATTAGACATGTTTACCTATTCCCTTTTAAGAATTATTCCATTTTATGAATACTTTATGAGTTAGAAACTTGTCACTCACCTTTAATAATCTTTCCATGTCTTCGATTTTCCAAATTGTGTTCCATCAGAGAGCCATATTGAGGCATTTTATAACTGATACATGAAAAGGATCCCTAATGATAAATTAGTTTAAGAGCTATGGATAGAAACAATAAAATAAATTTCTTTGTTTCAGTACTTCTCAGGGACTTTTATATGCTAATATGCATTGTGAGTACCCAAGGCAGATACACTACACAGCGTTTCCCAGATCTGGCTGCCTCACTGTCCTTCCTTTTTATCATTTATTTCCCATCTTTTCCAATTATTCAATTAAGAACATTAATATATAATGCAGCAAAGTTATTTCTTGTCTTTATTCTTTTCCTTTTATCATATTAAATCAAGACCTAATACATCAGTAGAGCTCAGTGTAGAGACAGAGAAAGATGCTAAAGCACACTGAATATTCACATCAGCTTCTGCAACATATATATATATATTTTTTTTTAAGATTGCTTTATTTATTTATACAAGCACTGGGTACAATCAGAAGCACGGGAGGGTGAGAGAATTCACCAGAGCCAGAGCGGGGAGCAGAGCAGGCAGAAGGACCGAAGTACACTGCTGAGGGGAGCAGCGGGCGGCAGGAGAGGTCTGCGCGCCATGTGGGACCCTCCTCCGGTGGCCGGGGAGCAGCCGGGGATCGAACCGGCGCAGCAGAGGCTGCGGGCAACATCGCAACCCAGCGCTCAGTCGCTGCGCCACCGGGGAGGCCCAACATACATATTTTTAATATCAAATTTGCTTCTATCTCTCTTCTCTTTAATGCCCTTCTGTAGCTTATGCATTGCTAGAAGAATAAATTGCATGTCTGCTTCTTAAGTTTCTGGACTTAACCACCACAGTGACTCACATGCCTTAATGCTCCAACAGCACCAGACAGCTTGCAGGTCACTTAACAGGCCATGTGTGCCAGGCTGTTCTATCAAGGTGTAAGCAGCTCCATGGGCCTGCTCCCTAGTGGAAAAAAAAAAAAAATTAAAATTGACCATTTTAAAGCCTCTGAAAATGGTCTTAAGGGCAAACAGCAAATGTGAAATATTTTTTTCATGAAAATTCAGTAAGAAAGCATGACTCTGTGGTATTGGAGCTAAGACGGCTCCTTTTTCCATTCTCCCAGATCCCAGGCCAACACTTCAGACTTCACAGCCAAGAACAGAGGGTTCTCCCTTCAGCTTCCAATCGAAGAAGTTTCTTCCTGGGAGGACCAGGGCATCACCATTTCTCATCCTGTCTCTAGCGACCTGTGGTTGTGTTAGATTTCAGATGAATCTGGCTGTAGGATTTTGTGAAGTCATTGCTCATGGGATGAAAGAACTGCTGACACTCTTGGGGCTTCTATCACTGCTCCCCCAGCTTATCAGGGGAGGAAAGCTCAGAAGACCCCTCTGAATACTGCCTCCTCACCGACTCCTGCCCACCAGGTGCTCTGCTCCTAAAGTAGGGGTGTCATTGATAAAGAAAGAGAAAGCAAAGAGGCAGAAAAATTATTCCCCCCAAAAAGTAGCTGAAAATGCCCCAGATTTCTTGAAAAACATTAACTTAATATCCAAGAAGCTCAATAACCTCCAAGTACAATAAACTTCAAGGAGGATCCACAGACACATCACAATAAAAATTCTGGAAGTCAAAGAAAAAATCTTGAGAGCACCCAGAAGATGCAATGGGGTCTTGAAGGTGAGATGATAGATAACAAGCATGGGGGAAAAAACCAAAACTCTTATCAAGACTCATATCCAACAAGAACTATATTTTAAAAATGAAGGATAAACAAAGACATCCCCAGATAAATAAAACAGAGAGAATTTATTGCTGTTAGGCCTGTCTTATAAGGAATACCAAAAGGAGTTCGCTAGGCTAAAATCAAGTGACTCCAGATGGTAATTTGAATATACACACACACAGACACTCACACTATAAAAGTAACTGCAATTATAAAAGACAGGATAAATGGATATTTCCCCTTTTCTTTTCTCAACTCATTTAAAAAGCAATTATATGAGATAATATGTATATAATATATAGTTGGGCTTATACCATATAGAAATGTAATTATTTGCTACAAACAGCACAAAGGATGTAGATTAGAACAAAAGTGTAGTGGGCTGAGAAAATGACTACAGATTACCATCTAATAATTAGAACAATGTATTATATTGACTTGTAAGCTTAATTGATCTAATATATAGAATAATGCCACAAAGAGGATGTTTCACACTTCTTTATATGTAAAACTCTGCCTCAAATGTCTTTTTCATTTTGTTCACCTCCCTCATACCATTAAAATTATAATAATGACATGCAAGTCTATCCCTACCAGTTCTAGAGCCCAGGGAAAAAGGTGGAATAGAGTCTTCAATGTCCTATTAAATGGCCATTAATTTTTTATATTTTTAAAAGAAAGGTCAAATTAAGTATTCAAAAGTTAGAAACCCAGTTGACAAACTGTCAAATAAAACATAACCTATCAACTTTCCTAACAATCTAGGTCTGAATTTAAAATTCTTGAACTCCTTAGAGTGCCATTCCAGAATGGCATTATGAGGAGAACCATCCCCTGGTCTTGATTCCTGAGGTCTCTGTATGTGGCCCAGCCTCCCATTCTTTTCCCCACATTATGTGGGGCATTGGTGTGCATGTAGCCAGAGTCCCCTGATCAAGCCCCATTTACTTCCCTCTGGCAAAGTGGGCTTCTTGCCACTGCTTATCACTCTTATGACCACTCTCTAGAAGATGGAACCACAGAAGATTACCACCCAGATGCTGGAACTAGTAGTGATATTTAGATAGTTACAGGAGCTTGGGGGTTATAACAATTTATGGCCCATTATGTGAGCCCTTTTAGCCTTCTTGCTCTGTGAGGTTGGATGTGGCCAAAAGAGGTAAGAGTATGGACATCTCAAGGCTCAGGACTAAGGAATGGGGTACCTCTTACCTTGATATAAGAATAATGAATCAATCTTGGTATCTATAAGTTTCAGCCTAAGTGATATGAAAAGAGTATTTCATGCAGCTGATGAAAGCAAGTTGTAATCCTCATCTTTTGGACTTTGGTGCCTCTTTTAGAACATTAAAGAAGGTTCATTTGATAACATACACTTCTTAATATCTCTCTCATTGCTCCAATGTTAATCAGTTCTCTCACATTTGATAGCTGTGCCCATGCCCTTTTCTTGCCAATCTTATATTTCAAGTCTCATGAAAATCTTTTATTTCCTCTCTCTCTCTTATACCAATCCCTTTCTACTCACCAACTTTCCCTCTTTCTTTAATTCTGTTTTTCCAAAGAGCTGAAACTATTATAGCAAAATCTAGGAGTTACTGAAAGGGGGGAACTCTGAGCAAGCATCCTAGAAATTTCCTTGAAATTAGGATAGAAGAACAGTACCTAGATTCTTAAAACTGATTTAGGAAACTTCTTTGAGTCACATTTCCTCTTACTTTAACTATATGATAAAATACAAATCTTAATGAGTTGGCCTTCTAAATGCTGAAACATATATCAGAGAATTTCAAGAAGAAATACTGTTATAGTTAATCTGAGCGGGAGCAATTTCACTGGAGTGTTGAAAGTGGAAGATATGGTGCAGTATTGAATAATGGCCTGAGTTGAGTCCCCAGCCAGAGATGGGCACATGGTGAAGCAGACCTCTTCTGTTTTGCCCACTACTCCCTCTCAGCAGTGTATTTCAGTACACTTTTTTTTCAGTACTGCCTGTTTTACTCCCCACTCTGTCTCTGGCGAATCCTCTCACCCCACTCCCCCACCTCTGTCCTGCACTACAGTTCTTCTATGCAGAAATAAATATTTTTTTAAAAAATCTTTAAAATCTTTAAAAAATAAATAAAATCTTTTAAAAAAGTAGAGAAGGGTAGGTGAATGTAGACAATATATTTGATGCTTCCTCAGCAGCGGAGAAGGATAAATAAAAGTATAAATACATGAATTAATGCATTGTGTTGCACCTTGCAGAGGTAGTGATAAGTTTTGTTAAGCTTATTGAGCTCTCACTGGGGATGTTTATGTCCAAATTCTGGATTCCATGCATAGTCTCCTTAGTCCAAGTCAAGGACTTGCTTTTTTTAAAAAAAACTTGGTCAAGGATTTGGTTTTTTTTTTTTTTAAACTTGGCAAAGTTTATGGGGAGATTAATGCATGTGGGTAGGCATCTCAGGTCATGAAAACCTTTATGGTCTCTTTAAATTATGATACTCTCTTTTGTGGATTAAATGACCATACATGCATTGGATATTTTTTTCCTCTGAATGTATTGTCATGTTAATCACATTCTCAAATTGCAAAGTGATAATACTATTGTCTAATTTACAGACTAGTTTTATTTTACTTGACAGACTAGTTTTATTTTACTTGACTGAGTATATTTTTTAAAGAATTTTAGGTTGAAAACTTTAGTTTGGGTGACAGAAGGAAAGTTCCATGATGTATGAAAGTATTTAATAGCTCCTTGTCTTTAGTAAGCTTACACTGAATTAAGCTGAGTTATAGACAAGACATAATGCATGAAAAATTTTCAGTAAATTTCAAACCTTTTAAAATAACCTTTAAAAAAAGACCTAAACATTTACAGTTAATACTGTTTAAGTTCTCAAACCTGAGAAATGTTTTATTAGTCCTATTGAATCAGATGTTTTATGTTTAATTTTTTTTATTTCTCTTAATTTGTTTTTCTCCAGAAACTTGAGGAACATTAACATTTTATTTCTTAAATGCTGCATTTCCCATCTCTAAGTTTCATGGAATATTTCATAATTTCAAGTGTGTGTTTATGGAGAGTTAATTGGAGATGTAATGATGCTCCAGAAAAATCTTAATGTTAAGCTTCATCACACATCTTTGTCTGGGATGGAGTTGATGCCTTTTCTCTGCCACCATCTTCAGCCCCCTCACTATAGATGGGTGAAGAGCCAGAAGCACTTTCAGAGATCCTAAAAAGAGCAAAACCAGAAAGCAAGTGGTTATGAATTGCATGCTGGTGTGGCATTTAGATAATGTGGAATGAGCAGCTGTGGGTAATAAGATAACTGACACTAAGTGATCTACTCCAGCATCATGCAAACAAGGCCCTTTTTGAAAAGTGAGCTTCCTCCTGTGCATCTCTTACTCAATTCCACCCGAAGGAATTCTAAATGCTAGATGATAGAATTCTTTCAGAAGTGTTGCAGTAATCATGCCTCATTTTCTCTGGAGATAGAGAGTAGCTAAGACAGAAAGCTATATTTTCCTAAAGTTAAAAAAAAAAAGAGCAAGTCCTGGATAGTTTAAGGTTTTGCTGTTTCTTTTTCTCTATTTCATTAAATTTATTTCTTTTCTTACATCATCTTATATCACTGTTCATTTTTGGACAGTGTTTGATTTCCCCCTCAGCTGTAGTTCCCATAGTTACCCACCTGTGATCCATCACCACAGTCCCTTGTGCTCTTCCCTCCCCTGGCCCTGCCTCCTCTTCTCACCTGCTTCTTATTGAATACTGCCCTAGAAACATTTGGAATCACAGAGCTGGAAGGCAGTGCTAGACTTCAAAAGACTTTTTCCTCTCAGAGAAGGGGTGTTTTTAGGAATAGAATATAGTAGGGACTAGAGAAAACCATTGCTCAAGACTCCTTGGGGTGCCTCACCTCCCTAAGAGCTCTTGGCATGTTACATGGGACTAGCACCTACATTTAACCAACTCTCCCCTACTTGCATATTTTTTTAAGCTGGAAAGTTTTGTTTTTTTTTAAATTTATTTACACAATCAAGAGCTGGGGTGTAGGCCAGAGGTGCAGGTAGGGGGTGAGAGGATTCACCAGAGACAGAGTGGAGAACAGAACAGGCAAATCTACTAAAACACAGTAGAGGGCTGCTGCACCTTGTGGGTTAGCTCCCTGGCTGGGGATTGAACTCATGCTCAGTGGCTGGTGACAGCTTGAGCATGCTGAGACTTTAACCCCAGTGCCACCAAGGAGGCCTCCCTATCCCAATTTTATCACTAATTTAGATTCTTATAATTTCATCATTCACCCCAAATCTCTACTGGTTTCTAATGAATATCCAGTAAGGCTGCTGCTACCTAAATGCATATAATCCCATGCCCCCTCTAGCTAGAGACCTCATCATCACTTCCTCCTTCCCATACCATAGCCTATGACCTCCCATCACACCACCAATCATATTCTCTCCATTGTCTTGCTTTTTTGCTAATATCTTAAGAGACCATTGTAGCTCTTCGTATAAGTATCACACTGAAACTGCCCACACAACAGTGGAAAGTATTACCAGCCTGCTTTGCTAAAGACTTAATGAAATCCCTTAAAAATAGTCTCCACCTTTACCCATATCCTTTGGGAAATTGACATCAAATCATTATACTTATCTACTAATTTTGAGAATGATGTATCCTTCCAGTTGTCCAAAATCTACTTGTTCAGAATTCAAGGCCTTTCAATGTTACAAACATTTGTCTTTTCCTCTATGTACAAGGTTTAAGACCCTGGTTAGGGGTGGACCTCTGGAAATGATCTCAACCCGTGTACCATCACATTCTAAGATGCGTTGCTCCATTTGTTGAGATAAGGGGCATGCCAGTTCCTCCACCAATCACAGGGCTCCTCACACATCTTATACTAGCATTGCCTAAAATCCCTCACTATTCCTCCTACTGGTCTCTAGAAGAAGTGTCAAGGTTTAAATTTTTATAATCATGCTTCCTACTGTCCTCAGAGTCCTGCAATGACACCACTTATCTGGCTAATTCCTGGAGACTAACGTCACTTAGTTACAAGCATTACAGATTAACACCTCTCTGTCACTTTAAAGACTAAACGGTAGAGTTGAACACTGTATTGAGTGGTTCAGACAGAAAATGATGAGAGATAAAGTGCTAAGGTGAAGAGTGCATTTGAGAAGACAGAGTTCAACATGAACAGTAGCCAACAGGAAAATACCATTATCAAGGTGAGGCATGAGATAAGCTTCAAAGGAAGAGAATGATGTTAGCATAGAGAAAAGCAGGAAGCTTGCAACACCTTACATATCTCTGTGATTTGGATACTCAATTATAGGCTCAAATGTGGCCTTTTGCTCATTGTTATAAAAAGAGAATTTGGTTGTTTTTATTCTTGGATAATCAATGAGTGGAAGTTTATGCAGTTTGTTTATAGACAGTAGTATTGAACACTCAATAGTTAGAGAAGAGAAACAAGATAGCTGCTGACTCAACATACTAATTCAAAAGGAAATTCTATCTTTTTATATGATGTTTGTAGGTTTTTGAAAGTCCTATCCAAAAAAGTTGAATTAATTCACTGGGAAGAGAAGAAGGAGTTTAGAAGAGAAGGCACTTGATGCTTTTATCCATTCTTCTCACTTGAAGGTACATGTTACTTACCAACACTGCCCTCTTTCCACTTTTATCAACAATTTATCTTCTGACAATTTCATCGTTCACCCCAAATCTCTATTGGTAGATTCTCCAGAGAAACAGAACCAACAGAATATGTGTGTATGTCTGCTTTGAGCATATATCTGTATTTTATTATATATAGACATACAATATATTTTATACACACAGATTTATTTTAAGAAATGGGATTATGGAGGTTGGCAAATCCCAAATCTGCATGTCAACTGGCAGACTGTAGACCCTGGGGAGAACTGATGTTGCAGTTTGAGTCCAAAGACTATTTCCTGTAGAATTCCTTCTTGTATTGGGGTGGGGAAGTCTTTTTATTCTATGCAAGTCTTCAGTTGAATGAGACACACCCACATAATGAAGGGCAATCTGATTGACACACAATCCATAGATTTAAATGTTAATCTCATCTAAAAACATCCTCACAGCAACATTCAGAAGAATGTTCCACCAGGTGCCTGGGTAGGGTGGCCCAGGCAAGATGACACATAAAATTAACCATTACTGATTCTTAGTTATTCTCCCCTGTAATTCTAACAACAGTGAATAAGTCACTCTTTCTGTAACAGGGTGGTCCCCAGGAAAGGGGGAAGTTCCAGGTTCCCTGCCCCACCCAAGGGAGGGTGGAGCTGAGCAGGAAGAGGAGAAGCTGCAGAAGAGACTGAGGAAGGAAACAGGATGGAGCCAGGAGACCTGGAAGAGACGCATGGAGCCTAGAGACACGTGAAGAAACTGTGCTTGTCTTTTGGTCGTGGACTGGGTGACACAGATGTGGGTGAGACCCGTGGGGAGGTGACAATGGCAGCTTTTATCTTGATGTTGATTTTGCTCTTTTCCTTCCGGCTTGTCTGCTTGTTTCTGACCCTTTTCTGTGGGTCCCCACTGGAAGATGCTTTAGACTTGTGGCAGGCCTTGGGGCCTTGCTCTGGGCCAATCCCATTTGGATGGACTTTTACCCATGAGGGGATGGGTAACTTTGGGTGCTTGATTTAGAAACTAGATTCTTTGCCTTACCTGTATTGTTTCCTAGTTTTATTAAAGTTCCTTTTCATTAAAGTCTCCTATGTTTTGTGTTGATGCGGCGGATGGCAGAACCCATTTAGAATAGGCAGGTTTGCGGGGTTTTGGGCTGCCCCTCTCCCTGTCCTATAACACTATAACAACCCTTTTCTGTGGGTCCCCACTGGAAGATGCTTTAGACTTTTAGCAGGCTTTGGGGCCTTGTTCTGGGCCGATCCCATATGGATGGACTTTTACCCATGAGGGGATGGGTAACTTTGGGTGCTTCATTTAGAAACTAGATTCTTTGCTTTCCTGTATTGTTTCCTAATTAAAGTTCCTTCCCATTAAAGTCTCATGTTTTGTGTTGATGCGGCGGATGGCAGAACCCATTTAGAATAGGCAGGTTTGCGGGGCTTGGGCTGCCCCTCTCCCTGTCCTATAACATTTCCAGCTCTCATTCTTCTCCTCTGTAAAAATGGTGAGAGATGATTTCTAAGTTCCTTTCTCTAGCCTAACAATATCTCTTTTTTTGTTTTCTCTCTTCCCCAGAAATATGCCTTTACAGATTTATAAGTATATAGACAGAAGCAATGAATGAATAATTGATCTAATTAATATGAGACTGTGACACCAATCTATTTTTTTCTATGTGAAAATAACTTGCTTCCCCAGTCATAGTGAGAAGAATGAACTGAGTTGCCTTTTTACTAATGCTAATAGGTTTGAGCTCTGTCATCTTCATGTTTTGAACAGGCTTACCCGGACGCTAAAAGTACACATGATAAGAAAACTTGCTAGTAGAACAAGTGCCCTTCAAACAGAAGTAACTAACTTCTGGGGCCTTAATGACTGTATTGGCATTAGAGCTATGCTCTCTAATCAACTGAGCCAGCTAGGCTAATGATCTAATATTTTTGTCTGCATAGCTAACACACTAGGATGTGTGAGAAAATGTACTTCCAGTTAAGATACCAAATTCAAATGACAAAGGGATGTTAAAGAGACCATATCAAAATTTGTTTTAATATTTTATATAATTCTTAAATCATTTTTCATTTTTGCACAATGTATGCATTTTCATTTTGGTTATATTCCCCATACAATTGCATCCCCCCTTATTTTGACCCTAATCCTTCCTCTCCCAAGGTGTGTCTCTGGCTTATAGTTGCTTGTTGATTTTGATTTTTACTTTGTATTAATTAGTCTTTTTCCTGGTCTTTTATTTAGGTTCTTTAAATTCCTGCTATGAGTGAGACTAGCCGGTATTTTTCTTTCTGACTTATTTCGCATATCAAAGTTTTTAATTTAAGGCATGATTACTAGAAGAAAAGTTGCTGTAAGCACTTGGTTTTCCTGAATTAAAGATGGAAAAGTAGCATGTTAAGTAGTATAGGCTTGTTAAAAGTTCACCATTATCGATACACATTTGTTCCTTTTTATTGTATGCAAACATGCTTCTCCTATCATTGATCAGAAATAATCCTAATCAGAATTTAAAATAATTAAAGTGAAACCTTCTTCCTAAGTATGCAA